AACAGACGGAGAAAGAAGAAACCAAAGCAGAGGCGAAGGACACCCACGGCTGAGGCTCCTAGGGTGGTCCAGAGGAGAAGCATGAAGCTCAGTGGCTGGAAAGAATATGCAAGAGTGAAAGGGAAGCAGGCCCCGGATGATACATGAAAGAGGCACAAAAATGTCGACTTCCAAAGAGTAATTTCTGTAGACAGAAGACAAGAAAGGCTGGAAGTATAAATAGGCTCCGAGACAGTGAAACTTGCCAGCTTCCTTGTACAGACCAGAGCCATGCTGCGCTGGGCATGAGGAGGAAAGGCCTCGAGTCCTCGAGTCTTAGCCACTCAGAGGACTCAACATGGAACATGTCTGTTTGCTCTGTTCAGACTTCGCATTATAAGGAGGCCAGCACGTGTAGGGACTCACGATGCTTCTAGATGGGAAGTTAGGTATGTGTGGACAGTACTACAGGCCTCAGCAGCCACTGGGCTTCTGACCAGAGGCCAGTATTTTGAAAGGTGAGAGCCAGGGCTGGAGGCAGTAACTCTAGGGGCCGGAATCTGCCCTAACAGGTCTTGCCTTCAGGGATCCCCTGTGGGGGAGGGGGCAGGGCCACAGATCCTGAGGCCCTAGAGCAGGACCTCTGGCAAACAGCTCTAGGCCTTGGTTCAGCATAGCTGTTGCCCGAAGCAATGGGGATTAGGAAATCACAGCCTCCGATCACTTTAAATCACCTCTCAAAACTGAAAAAAGTAAAAGGGCTTGAAGGTCTTTACAGTACACTCACACCCTACCACTTCTAGGTTCAATTTCAAGTTCCCAGGGCTATTAAAAAAAAAAAAAAAAAGCCCATTCAGGAAAGAGGAGGTTAGAGGCAACAACCCTCTATTTCAAGCCAGTTAACTGAAATGCTACAAAACAATATCCTCGGTCTTCATCGGCCTGAGGCAGCGAGAGAGGAAGAGAGCAAGAGCACACAAGCGCAGAGGGCAACGCATGGACGCACTCTCACACGCCTTTCGGTGTAGACATTAAACCCGGACCCCCTATATTTCAGGAGCCGATGCAGAGCAGGGGAGAATTTAGTGTTTAAATGTTGTCCTATCAATCTACCCACAGTACACAGACTGTTCTAACACTCAAACAACCCCACCAGAATTAGCCAAACATTCTTTTGGCTTCCACTTTTAAAATAACCAGCTAACTTGGACACAAAGAACTCCTCTCGCCACAGACCCAGTTTCGCTGAAAGCTCTTCCTACAAGCAACAGTGCCGTGTTTTCACAGTTCAAGTCTGTACCTTAGATGCGTGTTGCTATTCTTGTTAGTTATCACTGACAAGTTGAGCAGTTTAAAAAGTCCTTCCGTTACCCCACCCACGAGAACACAAAATTCAAAACAGTGGAAGAGCAAGTTCTACTGCAGTGCGAACAAATCCGGACAGAATGGGGAAGGTAGATTCTGCATTGTTCACTACTGTAGGTAACTTCCTGGGGCCACATGCCGCGCTGGCAGAAACTGTTTGGTTAGCATTAACTGAAGCCAACAGAAAAGTACCAACCATCCAATGTTTCCTTCTCGCCCCTTCCTCTCAGAATGTTAACTCAAAGAAAATTTAACAGGGCAGAGACAGACACTGGGAATCGTGACAGTAAAAGAAGCTGTAACGCTCAGCTGTGCATCAGACTTGGCCTGTGCCGCTCGGTTCAACCATGCAGGAGCCTGGCTCTGTTTTAAAGAGGCCCCCCCGGCAGGCGCCGCGATGGAAACCTGCCTGGCTTGGGCAGGAGATGGGTTATGTTCATTTACAAATGCGGGATATTCTCAAAGTCTCCTCCTCCTTCTAAACCACAGCTGGGACAGAGGGAGTGGCACAGTGAAGGACGATTCAAAATACAGGACTTAGGAGATATGCGGATATAAACTTTACACAATTTTAGATGGTTTCTACTAACATCTTCAAGTCTCTTCATTCTAGAGAATTAAGATGGTACAAGACTCATTACCCAGGGTATTTAAACGCACACGGACAATACGATGATGTAGCCTGTACAGAAAGTACAGCATAGCGGCGTCTGGGGGGTTCAGCTGGTTAAGCATCTGCCTGAGGCTCGGCTCAGGTCACGGTCCCAGGGTCCTGGGATCGAGCTCCACGTTGGGCTCCTTGCTCAGTAGGGGGTCTGCTCTCTCTCTGCCCCCACCCCTGCACCCCGCTCATGCATGCACACTCACTGCCCCCACCTCAAATAAATCTTAAAAAAAAAAAAAAAAAGTACAGCATGAACAATAACCAAGGTAGGCCCATTTATCTTACAAAATGATCTTTCATGCTTCGGGATATACCATACAGGCAAATAATTTCTCCTCCATTTTCTGCCCGCCCCCCAATTACTTGGAAATCCTTTTACCTCCACAGAAAATTTGCTGAACCTGTATGAAACAAAGTTAGGCAGTTCCTGAGCCTAAAATCTTATACCCAATACAAACATGGAAAAGGATAAAATAAGAACATTACCACCTAGATTTACAGCTGACTTCTCCTCTTCTAAAAACTATTCTTTACTGTTTCAATATTGTTTCTACAATAAGTAAATTCAGGGAGGAGGAGGTCATTGATGACATGCTTTCATGGTTTTTAAAAATGAGATAGGACCCAGAAAAATGAATTTAAGAATTGGAGACTCTGACAGTCAAATTCTAGAAAGCTTTTGGTATTAAAGACCAACAACCTTTTAAAAGTGGCAGCCAGGGTTCCAGACCCTGCTGGAAATAAGGAAATCTAGGTGTAAGCCAGGGTTTTAGACCCTATGGGAATAAGGAGATCCAGGTGTAAGTGAGGGGCCACCATGACTGTGGTAGGTGGAAAGGGAGACCATGCCAAATCCCAGGAGTAAAAACAGTGACCTGTGACAGCGACCAGGTGGAGAGATAATGCCCAGGGTACATCAGCCCATCTCTCTGGCCCCTTCTTGACCCCTGTGACAACTTGCTAAGTAGAAACACCCGAACCAGCTTACAAATGTTCTAGAAACACCTAGAACCAGCCTACCAATGTTCTAGAAAGAAACCTCGAATGGCTAGTTTTACACACAAGCCCCACAATGCTCCACCGACTGCTGCAGGTTATGTGCTTAGATTGAGACAGAGACTGAAATCACCTCTGCATCTCCCTCACCGCCCCCCACCCCTAAAGGAGGCCATATGATGTGTGGCAGTGCTGCGTTAATCATACGTTTTTATCAGAGAAATGATTACACTGAGCAGGAAGCTACAACTGCAAACTTCTTCCCCATCTGTTCCCCAATATGCCTCAATCAGTATTTTTTTTGGTAACCATTTTTGCAAAAAATGAGGACCAAGACAAGGAACAATTATAAAGAGATGGCAAGAATTTCCTGCATAACAGGTAATCCCAACAAAAGAAAGAGCAATTTTAGCCTTTAAAAGTTAGTTACAATATATCTGCCAGAAAGTTTGTGATCTCTGGAAAGAAAGGGCTCTATATTCTCAAAGAAAATGTCACTGTCCCCTCCTAACAATGCAACATGCAAGAACAGTGTCCATATATTCAAAATACAATCCTGCCGTCAAAGTACGAGGCATCTTCTTGAGTCGATAAAAATAAGAATGATCACCATTGTGTAGCTCAGATGATCTCCACAAAGATGCTAAAAACATAATAGGGGACAAAAACTTGGCCACAAAGAAAATGCGCTAGGCCTGGGGTCCAAAGAGGGTGGTTTCTCCAACCTTGATCCAGAGATTGCTTAAAATGATAGTGAACAATCTATGAAATGCAGGCATGTCAGGCTTTGCTTTTGTAACCAACAGAGAAAGGGTCCAGAACACTGGTTTACCTGCCCATATACTATATGGAATAACATCTACATGCAAAGGGGCATCAGAAGAGAGGAGAGGACCCAAGTCAGGTTCTAGGACCCCATAAGGGAGTACGATGTATCACGAGGAAACACCTTGGGTTACAGTTTGAAGGAGACAGAAAGCAAGAATGAACCGAACAATCTAAAGTCTTCCTACATCTCTAGTATCATCAACGAGTCCAAGTTTTCAGGCATTTCCCAGAAAGTAGCTGGAATCTGGATTTTAGGGATAATTACGGACTTCAAAAAACAGTTAACTGCTGGGCCTGCCCTCTTCCCATGCTTTGGAGAGGCGCTGGTGCTCCTGCCCATGGGATTACCAGGAGCTGGAAGCCCAGAGCCATAGCAGGAGCGCGCAAGGCACGTCAGAGCGCTCACCCACCTGGCCTGCAGTCACCTGGCTTGGGCAAGACAAACAACACACCTCTTTCCCAGATGCAAACACTTTAAGGTAAACCACCTTTTGTCACTGAAGGAGGAAGCATGGAAAATTCTGTAGCCGATCTATAAAGGAACCTGCTGTCAACCCCCATCTCCCCTCCTACTCATAATTTTGTTTTACTGAGATTGAAGGACAGGATGACAAAGCTGAAGTGATGGAAAAAGACATGATTACGTTAAAACAAATAGAAAAATAAACCAAAGGTATCCAAAGTACTTGTAAAAAAATAAGTTTAAAAAGTATTCCCATTGTTTAGGTGTACAATAAATGCATTCCTGAAATTTTTTGGAAAAGGAATCACTTTAAATGTACCCAAGAGACTGGCAATCTTAATACAGGCTGCTAGGAATATATGAATATATCTGTAAAGTACAGAATCTTCCCAGAAAATTCACTCCAGAATCACTTTCTGTAATCATGGCATATAAGTCCACTTAAAGAGAAATACACAGATACACAGAGTGAAGTCAAGAGGAGATGAAGGGGCTGGCAAACAGAATGTACAAGAGGTGGAACAGAAGATAATTATCTGCACAGGTGATCTAGCCTATTTACCTGAGGCCCAGGGGACCTAGGTACACGTGTCCTCTTTGGAACCTAAATAGTTTCCTCCTCCCCTAAAAACAAAACCTGCTTCTCTTTCCTATTTAGCCAACTCTGCCAGTTCTAAGCTTGTCCCTCTCATTTCTCTTCTCCAGGGCCTGCAGGCCTGAAGCCACTGCTCACAACCAAAGGTGGGGAAGATGGCCCAGAGCTGGTGTGGATCTCAGCTGAGGCATGGAGGTGTGCCAGAAAGCCCCGCAGCCCCTGGGGTGGAAATAAAAAGCTAGCCCTGGCCTCCCCTTTAGGAACACACCTACCTGGCGAAGTAGCAACCGCACAAGACTCCTCTGAAGAGAGGGAGCCAAACAGGCTGGTGGAGAGCCTAACAGCATGAGTGGCCTTGAGGAAGCATACCTGTATGCACTGTGACCAACTGGAAAACCACACTAAGTTCCCCAGGGAAGGGGGGACAGAAAGCAGACGGGCGGGAGCTAAGGCCACATTGCTGAGTGCTGCAGGTCTAGCTGCCCTGAACTCACTGCTTGCTATGTGGACAAAGGAAAAGGCTTAGCTGAGAAATGGCCCCTTGAATACAGACGACTTCACTTTCTTTCATTCCGTTTAGATTCCCGCCGCCCCCCCCCCCTTTTGTCTTTTTGTGATGAGAGAAAGGTACTCAAGGGCAGCTAGGGATCACAAAGAGGAGCTTGAAGAGGGCTCACTCAAGAAGCCACGTTCCCAGAACTGAGGAACTGTCTTAAGGACCTCACTGCTCCTGCCAACCAGGACCAGTGATTTAGTTCGGCGCTGAAGGTAGTGAAATGAATGAGTGCTCTCAGACAATTCTAGCAGCACAGTTGGCCAACCTCTACCACAGCACTGGTCAGCTTTTCAATCTAGTGACACTGAGCACATGGGTCATTAAAAATGCTTGGCCCCAAGGACGATACAGTATCTGCCGAGTGCAATGCTAAGTTACCAAGTAGCTGGTCTATGTATGTGTTTGAGGACTCAGTCAAGCGGAGGCTCATACAAAAAAAATCTTCTCAAAGATTTTTTTAAAAAGTACTGCAGTACACTTAAAAATTCTAAGCAATGAAAAAATGATGGTAATAAAAATAAAAATGCTCTGAGGCAAAAGTACATATGAAATAAGTTCCCAAAAGATCTGATTTTTTTTTTTTTTAATAAGGTTTCATTTTGGCCCTGGGTAGGTAAAAGGAAATTACACTGCAAAATTTTAGGCCTTTAGTTGTGTTTCACCAGCATAGGTCATACCAGCACTGAGATAAGTCTTCAGCAGTAACCTTCCAGATGCTTTTGGGAGCTTTGGAGAGAGTTGCAAAAAAAAAAAAAAGGACAAAAACCTCACAACTACCAGAGGTCATGAAGCCACAGAGTCATCTGCTTCTGAACAGCGTGGTCACCAGATGTGGGAACTACTTTCCAACAGTGCACTTCAAGACCGAGTATTCTCACTGTCTGCTGGAATTTAAGTCAGAGGACAACTTGCCTCCCATATCCGTTTTGCAAAGGGTGAAACTTTTGATCCTTATCAAACTTGCAAGGGAGGGGCGGAAACAAAGCTGTACTTCTTACTCATTTGCTAAAAACGATGAATGATAGACCTGATCACAACCGAGATGGACTGACCTAAAGTATTTCAGTGTCAATTGTTCCATTCATATAATATCTTTACTCAAAAGGTAACTGGTGGTCCCCAAATAATTCCACCATGAGTAAAAAGTACAGAATTTTGAAAAGCTGATTAATAAGCAGAAGTGACACGTGACTGGATGGAAGGCATGGAAAATTAAATTTGGGGCTTGTGAAAAGAACCAATATTTTCCCATGCACAAAGCACCTGCTAATCTCCAAAGTACTGCTTACAGCCATCCAAGCCCTCAGTTATCTACACCGTCAATTATGACTTTCTCCATTCCCAGTGGAACTGCCTTCTTGAATTTTCAGTCTCACGTTTTCCCGAAGACTATTCCCAGGTTTTATGCCCTAGGACACTGCAGTAATGATGGATTTTTGGCCATGGTTTGTTTTGTAACTTCATAATTGTGTAACTTTCTACCATAACTTAGAGCCAACACATATTTTAATATACAGATAGGAAAAATTATTTAAATACTTATAAAAACCAGAGGAGGGAAGGTTTATTTGAGATGTAGGATTTGGAAAGGCAAGCCTGGGCTTTTATTGGGAGTTGAAGTGTAAACATTTTTGAGTTCCCCTAAGATGTCTGGACTAATGTAACAGACTTCTTTGTTCAGAGCAATGACTTCTAATCTTAGATTTGTGACACCCCCGGGTGTCTCCAGATATCTCCGGAGGCACTGTAAAATTACCTCCTCAAAATGCCAAGTAAAATAATTTAAATTCGCTTAAAAAATAGGCCACACATGTTTGGAAGCAAGGGAGGGTGTCTTGGAATCAAAAGAACATCATAAATATTACAAAAGCTTGTTCCTTTTCAATTACATTTTAGTCTAAAGCAACTGATGAATAAAGGAAATGGAGCAAGATGAGACAGTCTGTGTGATTTTTGTGATTAGGGGAGACTGGGAAAGAGCTAGTTACTTGGGACAGTCTTTTTTCTGACCTCTACATTTACTTACCAATGCCTGAATTAGCACTCACTGGCAAATGGGAACCTCATTCCTAGCCCTTCACCTACTTGCACTGACATCGGTGCCTTAAAGTTGGTTTAAGTGATCTCTATTAAGTATGTGTTTCTTTAAAACAACAAACAAACAAGAACACAGACAGGCGGGCAGCTAGGCAGGGTAAGCTTAACTTAATTTTGTCAGTTTTCCCCTCAGCGTCTTCATTCAGTTGTTATCCTGAGATTACATACATCACTGCTCTACAATATCCAATTCTAAAATGGCTTAGTCACAACAAGGTTAAGAACGAAAACACAATTGTGGGTTTGCAACTAGGAAGCTGGCTTATAGCCATTATATTTTACTACAGTTTCCAAATTTCCAATAAATTACGTTTCCTGATGGGCTATTGCCCCAGGTTTCAGAACTTTCTTTACTCCGAACACTCACTTGAGTTATCCGAAAAATCGGAATATCAATTTAGAAATCAAAATGACAAGAGTCACCCTCAAAAAAGGCATCACAGATTAAAAAAAAAAAAAGTATACGTAAGTATACATTTTTCCATTAAACGGGCCTGTCTTTTCATAAAACCTTAGCTTGTGTTTTAATTTTTCATATCACTGCTTAAACTTAGACCCACATTTTACATAAGCCCTAGGATTCCAGTGAGAAATTCTTTACTAAATAATTTTCATTTACTCCTCCATTCACCCTGTTGATTGCTTGTCAAGAACAAGAAAAAGTTCCTTTTAAACTAGGTCTTTTGTACCATACTTCAAAAATCATCTGAAGAAAAAAAAATTGCCTGAAGAATCCAACAGTTCTCAGTCAGAAGGAAAAAAGTGTACTTGCCTTATTTGTAGCGGTAGCACTGGATCCAGGGACCACAGGCACATTCGTCACTTGAACCGAAAGATAGTTATTATCTATGAGCGGCCAGGCTCCTTCCACTTTGCACGTCTGAAAGTGATCCTTGAAAGTTCTCAGGTGAGGATCTCCGAACAAGCCACAAAAAAGGTAACTGGGAGGGTTCAGATCCCCGCCCCTGTGTTCTCTGGCTCCTGCGTGGCTGTGATAGTTACAAGGGTCGTGGGTCACTTCAGGGTTGGTCGAGGATGTGGGTCCATCCTTAGAACAGTTCCTCTGGCTCATGAGGTCACTGATCCCCAACACAGCAGAATGGTACACCAGGTTCCCGCGGCAGGCTTTCGAAGTCCGCTGGGTGCAGCCAGCATAAGCGCGCAGGGCCTTGCAAAACTCCGAGTCAAAGCCGTCGACGGCAGAGTTCAGGTGTGAAGTCAGAGACACAAAGTCCGTGGTGCACTTCTGGATTCGACACTGGGCCGGCTGCTGGCAGTCACCTGTGAGCAAGAAGAGAAGACCCAACGTTTTCTGAATGCTCCGTAACTGCCTGAGCCACCATGAGAAAAGGACATTCCCCTTTGGGAACTGTTTGTTCGATTTCACATCCTCGATTTTCAGAAGGCCTTCAGAAATAGGGTTGCATTGGGCGCCTGGGTGGCTCAGATGGTTAAGCGTCTGCCTTCGGCTCAGGTCATGATCCCAGGGTCCTGGGATCGAGGCCCGCATCGGGCTCCCTGCTAGGCGGGGGGAGCCTGCTTCTCCCTCTGCCTCTCTCTGTCTCTAATGAATAAATAAATAAAATCTTAAAAAAAAAAAAAAAAAGAAATAGGGTTGCATTGTGCTTCTGTGTCTCTCACAAATTAAGCCACTGGGAGAAAAACTGCCCGCAATTAGTTACCTTAAAACTTGAAATCATGAGCCGCTGTGAGTGCACATGAGTCTAGCCCAGTATTCTTATGTTAAAATTACCGGGAATGGCTAAATGGAGTACCTTATCAACTTTGCTATTGTTTAGATTCTGAGAAAGATTCCTTTGCTCGACTCCAAGGACAAGCCAAAGATGTGAACTTTGTTTTGGTTTTGAAAAGGGCGTTAAGTCATTTGCTTTGGAAAGCATGGGGTTGATGCAGAAAACCACGATTAAGGTTCCATACCTTAGGTAGGGACCCCTAAATTACAGCATGGTTAGCTAAAACACCTTTACCTGATTCTGGTACAGTTACAGGATAATAAAAAATCCAGGTGCTAAGTTATTCTGCATTTCTTTAGGGGTGTTTATTAACTGTATATAAATTGACAATCTCCTGGATGCTACAAAATGTAACTGTTCTCTTAAAAAAATAAAGTGACTCATTTATTTGATCAAGCTGTGTATTTACTTCTCCCTTAATATCCACTACCACTGGATCCCAGATCCCAAGCAGCCCATCAGGAAAGGTACAATGAATCAAAAAAGGACCCCAAATTGAAATCATGCTACACGGACAGAGGATTCCACCGACTGTTTTATCAGAAAGAGAACCGGGGAACTACAGCACACAGAATTCTTAGAGTATATACAAATGACTTTGTTCCTTAAGTCGACAGTTCAGATACACCTAATGATTTAAGCAAAGCTAAAATGAATAATAATAATAAAAAAACTATTACTGCCTCACTTTTTAAAGTCAATTTTCAAATGATGTTTTGCCACTAGCTTCTCATATAAAAAAATTAAGGGGTGCCTGGGTGGCTCAGTTGGTTGAGCACCCAACTCTTGATTTGGGCTCAGGTCATGGTCTCATCATCTTGGGATTGAGCCCCATGCTGGGCTCAGTGTGGAGTCTGCTAGTCCCTCTTCCTCTGCTCCTCCTGCACAACCCCCCCCCCCCGCTGGCCCCCGCATGTGCAGTCTCTCTCTCAAATAAAAAAATAAATAAAATCTTTTTTTTTTTTTAATTAAAAACCTCTCAAAGCATAAAAAGATGCAAGAATGACAACCTCTCAAGCCACCTCCCCCACTATTTTTACATTTCAAAGACCAAGAAGAGAAAAATGTAGTCTAGGTACTCTAACCTGGGGGGAGGAATACACACACACACACACACATGCACACACACACTCAACGTTTTGGGGCTATGGACTTAGAGCTATCACTAAATCACACTTAAAAAAAAAAATAATCACAAAAACACCTTCTTGTGTTTGGCCTACCTCACGTTGGCTCATTCTAGAGTTGACAAAAGCAGCTCCTATATTTACAAAATTCCTCTCTCCAAATTAGATCAAGTCATTTTCAACTGTTTGACTCAAAAAACCAAAAGCCAACCAACAACCTCAAAGGCATTAAAGCCATTTTACAGATGGGAAAAATCAAGACAAAGGGCTACTAAAGGCCTTGTTGTGGCTGGATCATAAATAGCTAGAACGAAGCCCAGGATAAAGTGCCTTTCTTCAAATCTCCTTTTCCTTCCTCAGCTCAAATCTCTAAATTCCTGATTCTCACAACAATAGCTGATAGCTTAAAAGAAGACTTAACTATTGTATCAATTATTTTTTTCTTTTTAAATGAAATTCACAGCAAGCAGAAAGGAAATGAACACTGGGCCAAGATCACTCAGTAATGAACACCTCCTAGACTACGAATAAATGACAGCACAAGAACTTTCCGCTGAACCTGCAATGCCTATTTGTTCTTTTTATGGTCTATAAAATCTATCCGAGTATACATTTACTTATAATTATTTTAAATAGTCATAAAATATGCAAAGTAAGAAGAGCATGAGATGCAGAAGAGAATCAGAATATAGATTCCCACCTCCTTTTTCCTTGTCCTCCCCCTGCCCTTTTTCCTAGCAGGCAGGTGCTGATTCTTTTGATAAATGTCACATCAAAAAGAACTCCTTGGGTTCTTTTGTGTGGGATGAGGTTTCTAACAGCCTTTTCAAAGAGAGACGATGGGAAAAGAGGAGGGCTAACTAGAGAGTGCATCTGGGTCAGCAGTTTCAGCCCCATCACAGGCTCCTGTATAATGACTAATTTGCAGTATACAGAATACACCCAGAAATATCCAGGCTTCATGAATTTATAATGACAGTGCACACTTTGCCTGTTACAGGCGGTAAAGTAAGCTTCCTGTCAAGATGCCAAGACAGTGTAGAGCAGAAACAATCTCAAGGATGTAGCCAACAAAGCCATGAAGAGTAAGAGTAAGCAAGTAACTCCCATATTGCATCTCCATTCAGGAATTGTACAGGTTTGCTTGGCAGGGGGAGTATGAAAGGACTTTTTTCATTTCCTAGGGCAGAAAACAAAATCTGCAGTTACAGATGTCTCCATTTTTCAAGTCAGATGATCCACGATTGGTGTGATAGTGTTTTCATTCCAGTTAATGAAAGTGCTAAAGGATTTGTGGGTCTACAGCCTTCGTTAATGATTCAAAGACCTCACCATTCAAGACCATTTCCTTGATGCCAGGACTGCATGTGTGAATTTGCAGCACAATCACCAGTTTATAATAAAAGAAATAAGATATGCTGAAGCTGAATTAAGTGAAATGCAGGGCCATATGGGGTGCTGAGGCAAATTATATGGATCCAGGCATAAAACATATGGTAGCCCATCTGCAAAGAGCACTACGCTAGGCTCTGAGGAGAAACAATCCTTGCATTTCAATAGCAACACTCTTCAAAGAAATCTTTCAAAAGGAGCCCTTTTTTTCTGTAACCAAATTAATCATTCCACCCCAACAAGCTGTTCACAGATATCACTCACCATGGAAACTCTAGGTAGAATCCAATGGTGACTTTAGTGAAGACAAAGGAAGATATGGAGAAGAGTTTCACATCCCAAGTTCTTGAAATAAGGCACCTTAAACATTAAAACAACTTTTTCATAACTGGCCAGAAAAGAAATCTTCAAGGACCACATTCCAATCTTGTCTTAGTACCCTCTGACAACGAAGGGACACAATATCCAAGCAGTCATGAGGGGCACACAGTCCTACCTAATACTTCAATTTCCCTTTCAAGAAACATACACTTTGACATTATGAAGACAAATTCTTCACACAAAACACTCCTGAATGTGTCTTTTGACACATCATTAAAAATTTCCATGTGACCATAAGCAGGTTGCCATTACTAAGATTCTAAAGTCACTCATTTAAAGCCTTAATCACTGTAAAACTTAATGTTACACCCTATGTTTCCCCAAGTGAGCGTTAAAACGCAGCTGTTCCATCACAATGCAAAGTTACGAAAAGTAAATTAAGTCTCCTCAAATGCCACATTTTTTCCCCATTACTTAAAAACCTCCCACATTTTTAGCAAGGCTGGTATGACTTAATAAATAAATACTACTCCACACAGGAGGGTGGCATTACAGTTCAGGATTCTCCAGATCAGAGAGCGTTGAGACTGCTGTCACAAAATACAGGACAAAAAAGGTCTCTAAGAAAAATTTATCTAATGCTCTAGCTGTTCTCAAATAAGTTTATCTTTCAATCTGGCATTACATAAATTCTTTAGACAAACTCCTAGACGTGGTACTTACTTAGAAAGACCGTCCTAGAAATTCCCCCCTCCCCGCGCTTTGAGATGCAACTGACATAGATCATTGTATTAATGCAACTTATTTCACAAGAAAAATAAGTATCACCTGCTAGAAGGCTCATCTGCAGGCCTACTTCGCTAAGAACAGATAACTCACTCCTGCTTCCACAGAGGAAGCGCCGGCCTCCAGAAAGCCTCATGAGATCTGTCAACCCCTCCTGGAACCCGCAAACACGCGGCGAGCCACAAAGCACTGGTTTCTCCAAAGGGGGTGACAAGCTGAATTAAAAGCAGCTTTCGCAAATACGAAAGAAATCCCTGTTTAAAGACGTTTAAGTACTTCGAGATTAACCCCCAGGTTTTCAAATTCCGGTGAAAATCTTTACATCTGGGGCGATGTCTTCCCCTCATCGCCACCCCCAACTCCAGAGAAGCAGCACAAGGCTCCTTGTCTCCCCTCGAAGGGGGCGGCGGCGGCGGGAACCCGATCCCAGCCTGACTTCCAGAAAACACCAGTGCAGTGAGCAATAAAGCACCCGGAACATTTGTCTCGGGGGCGCAGGCCCCGTCGCCCCCGCCCTCTAAATCTTCGATAAGCGGCTGCCGGGAAGGAGATTTATCAACGGTCCCGGCCGAAGGCGGGGAAACTGGAGTGGGGCGGAGGAAGGAGAAAGAGGGAGGGGAAGAGGCCGCTCCACTGCGCCCTGGGCGCGCCGCACCTCCCGCGGGTGTGTTCCTGCCGCTGCGCCGCGAGCCCGGCAGAAGCGCAGGTCTGGAGCCCGCGAGGCCTCTCCCGTCTCACCACGCCGCGCCGCCCTGCTGCCCCAGCGTGTGCCTTCGGGACCGGGGGTGTTTGGGAACAAAGCCCTCGGCCCTGGGGCTGGCTCCCCTCGCGCGCGCGCCTCATACCTGCGTGGAGCAGCCCGAGGCTGAGCAGCAGCAACAGCAGCAACGCCAGGGGCGGCGGGCAGAGCTGGGGGCGGCGGCGCTGCTCAGCCCCGGCGGCAGCAGCGGAGGCGGCGGCAGCGGCGCAGGAAGGTGCTGCTCTCAAGCCCATGCCCGTCCATGCAGGTCTCGTGGGCTCCGGCGAGGGCGGCGGCGCGGGCGCCGTGTCGGGTTCGTGGCTGTGGCTGCGGCATGGACCGTGGGACGCACCTCGCTTCCTCTTCTTCCTCCTTCAGGCCCGCGTCGGATACGGGCCGCCGCCACCGCCGCAGCGAAAAGCGCGCCGCGGGCGGAGCGAGGCGGCGGCGGCGGCGGCAAAGGGGCGCAGTGGCATCGCGGCGGCCGGAGGCGGCGGGCGGGGCAGAGCGGGCGGGAGAGAAGACACAAAGACGGTGAGCTTAGTGCCGGGCCTGGCCCCAAAAGCGCGGGCGCCCCGGTCCCAGCCAGCGTGGGCTCAGCGGGCGTGGACCCACTGGAGGCGCGCCCAGCCCGAGCAAGCAGCCGCCGGCAGCCCGGATATCTCTGTGCGGCGACCCCGCGGTCAATCAATCTCAGCCCCGCACTGCCGCTCCGCCCTCCCTGCGTGCGCCAATCCACGTCGTCCCCACCCACGGCCGAACCCCTCCCTCCCACCCCATTGGCCGTAAACGCGGGTCCTCTGGGCCCAGCCCGCCACTCGCAGGCCCAAAGCGCCCGCCCCCCGCACCTCCTCCCGCCCTCGGCTTGCTCATTGTAATTCGAGTTCCGCGTCCGCCGGCTGCGAGTCCTGTCCGCCGTGCCCGGGCCCAGCCTCCCTCCTGCTCCCTCCTCGTCTCTCCCCTTCACCCCTTTCCGCGATCTGTTTCCTTGTGCCCTACAGAAACTGGCGACGGCAACTCTCTTTTGCCGGCGTTACAAAAGAACCGGCTTTTTTCTCTCTAATTAATGTTGATTGGGTTCAACTTCCCCCTAAGGTTTTTTGGTGTGTGTGTGTGTGTTTTAAATCACCCCCACTCTGTCCCTCCCGCTCCAGCTCCGGCTCCTGAGAGGAAGTGGGCGCTTTTACCGAACGCCGTGCGGCAGGTCCCTTCGCAGCCAATCACATCTGCGGAACCGCGTTCCGAGCCTTTTCCGGACGTTTGGTAAAGCTAGCACCCAGCGGCGTTGGAAGTCCGAATGTGACCTGCGGTCCGGAACAGATCCGATGGGCTGGGAAGCTACCCACCAGCTCCCGGCGGAATTGGCTGGCAGCTGTTAGAGGCTCTGGCATTATTGTTCCTCTGACATTTCCCTTCCTGAAAGCAGCGGGGAGGAGTCTGAGAGTGGGCGAACTTCAACGTGTTCGGTTACAATGTAATTAGATTAATGGGGATAGTGAGTTTTTAAAGCAGTGTAGAGTAATTATGCCATCATTTCTTGTTGCTCGGTGGCTTTTCCACAAAATTTCGTAGTCTATTAGTATATTAATTCAATGGCAGGTCACTTTCTACTTTTGTCACTTGGATGGATCCAAAGATGAGGGGAAAAAACCCAATTGTGTGCCAGAAAAGAGGTTGCCAAGTGTTGTTATAGGAAAGCATGCTGTGAGGTTGATGATAGGTTACAATTTGTTATCAGTAGGTGTGAAGTGGTATCTAATCTCAAGAATGGCTTCAAAGGCTAGGAGCTACTTCGACTACTCTTGCCTTTGCCATTCCTCCAAGGGGCTCAGGGCTGCCATTTTAAATTCACTTATAGCCAAACTGCAGTTTGCAGCTGTACCCGTTCACTACTCATAATCTCTAATTAGTAATTTCGTATCAACCGCGGACACGTTAATACTCCACACGTTACAATGTGCTAATCAATGGACTAGGGTAATTGAGGGCAAACCTTCGATCACTCCAGCTTACTCATCAGACACATCATGAACTGTACAAACCACTAGGTCCCTAATGAAGGATGCCTATCTATTTTTACTGTAACTTTTCATTACTCATCTATTACATACTATGATGACTCAAGTGGTAAACACACCTTTCCCTGCCCAAGATATAATCCAAACCTTGTGTATATCCATAATATGCTTAATAATAGCTTCAGAGTTGCCTGGAGAAAGGACTTTTTGCAGGCGGAGTTATCTGATACGATTTTTAGATAGTATTGTGGAGTAAATACTATGAGACCAAAAATTTACTCTCTTGAAATGGCTACATAAATCAATGAACTAAAGTTAGTGAAATACTGGTAAACATCTTTTAAAAGTAACCAACTCTGAGTCAAAGTATTTTGCTAACAAAGACTAACAGTAAGATGTTTCTTTTTCCTTAACCCAAGATTTAATTCGACCCCTATGAAAGAAGCATGCCACTTTATTGATTATACTTCAAACACATAACCAAAAGTTAAGGATCAAATTCAGTTTAGATGGGGTCTTTTCGCTGTCATTACTTTCTCTGATTTCTCCCCCTGCCACTTCTCCCCCACCTCTGTATCCTGTTTCTTAAACACACAGTGCTCTAAATTATTTTATCAATAGAGGGCGTCCTTGAGTCACTGCAAATTCTGGTATCGAAATGCAACTGTTCTTTAGAGGGAAAACATTTTTTTCTAAGGTGCTTTATTGCTCATCTGTTGTAAAATTTGACAAGCTCAAGATTTATAAGGCTAACAATTCATTTTTTATTACCACATAAGTGTTCAGCCGGCTAGAGTAAAATGTTAATTTTCACAATTAAACCGCAAGGTGGTTCCTGTTTTCAAGTCTTTAGGTCAGTTGACAGACTCGCAGGGTAAATTCGGACTGTTAGCAAGATCCCGAATGGGCTTGGAAAGCAAGAGCTTGGAATGGTCGCCTGTAGCGCATCCATTCCTCCAGCTCCAATGCTGCAAGTTGAGGAGGATTTTAAGATTCTATAAAGAAAAATCTAGGGATTTTCCCCCATAAAATCAATGACTTATAAAAGTTTTACATCTTAATCTGAAAAAAAAAAAAAATCATGCACAGCTCACGAACCCACCCTATTTCTTGCCACTTGTACTCTTTCTCTTCATCTTTGTTTTCAGGAAGGAAAGATGAGACCAGAACAGCACAATTAGAGGACACGGCAAAGCATCCCATGGTATGAACGTGCAAGTGAATAGAATTAAAACACATGCCAGCAACAGGAATGGATTCTAAATAAGAATTAGAGGTTTCTTTTCCTGAACCCATACATGCGGTCTTAACCATTTGCCTCTTGATTTATCTCCATTTCCAGAAATCTAACACGAGGGTCTCACCTAGGACAGAAGAGCTAGGAAGCAGACCGCGGTAGGGATTTGTGCAACCCGTTCTAGAGTAAGGGCCCCCCTCGCTGCTCCCCAGTCCAGGGTGTCCGCAAAGCGGGGGCTGAAATAGCCCGGAGTCCGACAGCCCAGCAGCAAGCAGCTAGTGGATTGTACTTACATCATTCTTAACCCTTCCGATCCTGGAGGGGGCTTGACGGGATCAGGGGGCCCCCGAGTTCTGGAGCACGCAGGACCTGGGTGTGAGAGAAGACCCCAGAGCCTGGCGTGAGCGCTGCGCCCCCGGAAGGAGGGGTTCCGGGGCGTGAGTGGGGCTCATCACCCGAGCGTACACAGCCGGCCCCCACGATCCCTGCGGGCTCTGCAGCGGATCACACCGCTCAAAGCGGCAGGTGCAAAAAGCATTTGGGAGCCGCTTGCCAGCGCGCGGAGGTAATGCGCTTCCTGTCCATTTATCTCAGGAAACCAGCGCAGCCTTCTCTTCCAAACAAAATTAACCTCTCATTAGCCAGCCACTCACTCCCGAGAAGGCCTTAAAAGCTTTACCAGCTCGCTAATGTATTTAGACTTTTCTTCCAGGCCAAGCAGCTGCGGTGGTGACTGTCATCAGCCCTGGGGGTTCCTCTGGGTTCCCCTGGGAGCCAACCGCTTACCGCACCCCCCCCTCCCCCAGCCTCAAGTCTGGGAAACTCTGACCAATCTGGATCCCAGTTTGGGGTACTCTGCAGACCCGATACGCCCGAAGGGACTTCATGCCACAAGTAGCCAAAACAAGTTCCCCCTAGTTTCAAGAGCGCCACTCATATCAAATACTCAGCTCTCCTACCCTCAACAAATGGGGAAGGGTACCCTGGAGGTACTTCTGTGGCCAGCTGTCCCTGGGTCATAGGCGCTGACTGTCCTTTACAGCGCCAGCCCTGTACGCAACGGGTGCGGGAAGCAACGATCAGGGGTATGGGGAGTAGTGGAAGCTAGGATCTAGCCATTCCAGGAGTGGAGAATCAAATGTGGTTCTAGGTCTGCTAGAGTGGCCTTTTGGAGAATTGGGGTTTTCTCACCCTGGCCCCCCGCCGCCCTGAGGCTGGCAGATTTATACCACACAGGTGGACCAAGACCTAAACAAAATAGTCCGGGCCTCTGCCTGCCGCGCGCCCCCCACGTCCCCCTGGCCCACCGCAAACTTCGACAAAATAAACAACTCACCACAGGCATTCCCTTGTCTGCAGCGCGACGCTTGCCAGCTGGGAAAATAAGCCGCAAGCCACACGGCGGGGGCGCAGAGGGAGGGCAGCACGGCGCCCGCCTCTCTCCCCCAGATGGGGGCAGCGATACCCGGCGGCAGGACGGAGGCTCCGCCTCGGGACCCGCGCTCTCGCCTCCCTGACTGCTGAGTGAGCGCCGGGCGAGGGGCTGCGCCCTTCCAGCCAGCGCGATCTCCCGGCCACCTAGGGAAGGGGGCGGGAGGCAAATCCTTCAATTCCCTCCGCTTTCTCGAAGTGTCTTTCTCTCGCGTCAGGTCTCAAAGAAGGCCAAACCTAGGGGCCTTCACCCCACCCCTCCAGCGCCACACCGCCCCCTGTCGGCACTACCCGGACCTTTGCAGCGCCGCGGAGGAGTGGCTGGTAGCTGCGCCCCAGAATCCCAGCCTCCAAGTCCCGGCTCAGCTCTCTCCATTCTCACCGCCCCCTCACCCCCAAGTTCCGCACAAAGACGCCTTTCATGCGCCAGCGCCACCCTCCGCGCCGCCCTCCTCCCCGCCGTGTTGCCTTTGCCCACCGTGGCACCAACCAGCGGTCGTGGGGCAGGCCGGCAGCGGACACGTGCAGGCTGTTCCCACTCCGCGCCTCGGCACAGGCACGGATGCAGTCCCCCGCCCTCCTTTCCACGATTTTCACCAACTGTGCACCAGCAGCCACAAAATGCACCCCTTCTTCTACAGAAATGATCTGTGAGGGTCTTCCGAGTGTGTATAAATGGTGGGTGTTTGTGGCGGGGCCGGGGCGGGGGTTGGCGTAGTGGCGGGCGTTGGCGTATGGTCTCTGGACTTTCGCTGAAATAAGGAGTCCAGCGATCTTTCCTGTCCACCCAAGGTGCCAATGTGGATGTTTACAGCTTACAAAAGCCCAGGATAACGATTTGCGAATTGTGAGGGGGGAGAGAATTGAAAAAGACGTCTAAGACTCAGGTGAGGAAATGTGTTATAAAGAGCAAGCCCACGAAATGTTCGAGGAACGACAGTCACTTGAATCAGAGTGGAAGGTGTGGAGAGCAAGAGGGAAGGGATTAACTTTCTTTGCCTAGGCTGATCTTCCAAAGCTGAAAGTAAGCATCATAGGTATTCAGCGGGAGCTGTTGTTCTGTGCGTTCAGTGCCTGGGACGAGCAGGGTGCTTTATTTTTTATTTTATTTTATTTTTTGTCCGGGGAAAGGTTCCAACATCTTGATTTAGGTATTCCACTTTTTTTTTTTTTTTTTTTGGCCTCCTTAGAAATATCTTTGACCCTCTCCAGCTTTTCTCCTATTCTCCTGTCCCCACTCTTCCTTATAATTTCCTGATCTAACGCTAGAGGCAGCATAGGGCAGCGTAAGGAGGACAAAGTGGCAATCCGGAGAGGACGATCTTGACCTGACTTTCTGAGTGGGACTCTTGGGCAACTGATTTAATGTCTTTGAACCTAGGGGTCACTATCAAGAAAGAGTGTGTTAGGGGCAGTGGTCTGGTTCCTTCTGGTTCTGAAATTAGGTAACAAGGGAAGCCTCCTCACACCTTCTATAGATTCCCTTTTAAGGTGTTTTCTCACTTTGCCTTATCCTCTCCAAGGGCCAAATTGGAAAAAATAAGTATTAGGGATATTTTAAGGTAAATGTAAGATACATTGAAAAATCCTCTTCTTGATACTTAGAATTAAAAACAAACAAACAAACAAACAAACAAAAAAAACGCAAACCAAAACAAAAGCCCCTCAGCTCCTGGTTTGTAGAAACAAGGAATTTCAATGTCCCTACTTGCTTCGCCTTTGACAAGCCACACCAGCAATCAGCAGAGCAGAGCTTTGATTTAGAATCTAAAGGCCAGTCTTATGTTTTTCTTTTTCTTCTTCCTTCTACCAACACAAAGACAAGCTGACACATAAAGTAGTGGTGAACAAGAGTTCAAAGCAAGCTTAGTGATCTATTTCCTAACGCAGACCCTGTCCTTCCCCTCTCTCCTGATAAAGTGGCCCTGGGCAGCACAGAAATAGTAGGCACAAGCTGCCAGAATCCCCTTACCCTCCCCTTCCCAGAAATATTGGGCAGTGGAACCTGGATGCTAACTTGTCAATCATCATGTAAATGCATTCATTAAATCAATACATTTACCTTTTCCTTAGCCTCATGATATTTCCAGGATTTTTGATTCACTATTCACTTTGGAACCCTGAGCCTTAGTTTTCCCTCTGGGCAACCCTGGCTGTTTTCTGTGGAATCTTTTCTGAAACCAAGACAAAAAAGGGTGAATTTTCATAATGAATTCTTAAACTATAAATCTCTTGCTTCTTCAATTTCAACAAGAATTTCAGAATTGCTTAGCTTTCATAGCAATGCACACTTTAAAAAATTATCCATCAGAGAGAACTCTTGAGTATACTTTCATTGGGGAAAAAAAGATTCTTTAAACAGTAGTGGTGGAAAAATATTTTGAGATTATCTAATTTGGTTGCTTTGATTTGTATTAGTCACCCCCCCTCCACAGTCCCATTCATACATGCTAAAAACTGTTAAGTTTCTAATGGGGCTTTGGATGTTCCATTAGTAAAAGGACATAGCTTATTTTTTCTCCCCAAATTCTTTATCTTGCTCAATGCTCTACTACTTTTTTTCTCTTATCTCACTTTAATCTTTCTTTTTTTCCCTCATACCAACCAATATAAACCAAAGATGGGAATAGAAAAGGGACAAGAAAGCACTTTTCAGTAAAATCGACTTAGCATTTGTCTGTTGACTTAAGAAACCTGATGATGCAATGTGTACTTGCACCATCTTCTGAATTTCCACTTAAATGTGATAGAACTTCAGCTTTTAAAATATTCAGCTAATATATACATCCAACTCTCCAGTTGTTAAGATCATACATAGTTTGCTTACTTTTGATGTTTCTAAATTTTTCCTTTTGCAATTTGGGGGAGTCATCTCAATTATCTAGTAACATATGAATCTGTTTTCTAGTATTTCTTGTTTTGGTTTTCCTGTGTATTTTGTTGAAATTCTTCTCTAGTTTCAGACTGACTCTCAATTTGACAATTCCTTTATGCACTTATAATGTTTGAGGATTATTATTATTGCTAATAAATTATACCTATTTTAAATATTAATAGTACTTATAATAAGATTGGTAAGAAATAGAATATTTATAAAATAATGCTAGGAGAAATGCTACTTTCTACATGTGATTAATAAAAATAGTTTATTTAGTTAAATATTATTGAAGTTCATGAAGACCTGTTTTGTTTGAGAGAATCATTGTTTAAATTGGGTAACAACATAAAAGGATCCAAGACCTAGTTCTATTTTTAAAAGGATGAGAATTTGCTGTGCTTTTTCCCTCTATACAAAGATGTAAGACCGCTGTCTTGAACCATCAACTCATATGACAGTTAAGGTAAAGAATTCTGGTAAATTGCAGATTTTAAAAATGAAACCTCTGGACACAGAGCTATTGAACAAAGAAAACAAACAAAAGAATATCAGAACATGAAAACTATTTCATTCTGTCAACTATGTGAGTCTAATTTTCTAGAGAAATCCTACAGTACTAAAGTATCCCTACATATGTATAAAATAAAGTAGGTAAATGAATGCATATTAAATTCATTTTATTTAATAAAAATTAAATAAAGTCAATATTCATGAACAAATACGATAAAAAATGGACCATAATCTCCTTGAAGTGCCAGGACAAAAGCCATTATTTTTTTGTCTGCTTGCTATTAGAAAATCTTTTGTCATGAACCTTTTAGCCACTCAGTACAGGGTAAAAGAGTAGAACATGAAACTGCAGGGACTGGCCTTTTCCCTATTGTATTTGTTGATTATTTCAATTGCAGTCATTATACACACACACAGACTATCTTTTCTAGATTTTATAAGTTTTACGAGGCAAAGTATATATC